ACTTTTTTCCAGATCCCCCTGTCACCACGACCACATAGCGAAAATTAGGTGAAACCTACTCTGGCAATACTTGCATCCCCCGTTATAATAAAGGGTGACAGGTTTTCTTCATAGTCGGTTGTTGATGGCATGGCTGAAATTGAGCGGCCTTTTGTGGTGCTTTTCTGTATTTTGACTCTTTTCGCCTGATCGCCCACTATTGCGATTGCAGATTTGTCCACAAATGGCTTGGGTATAAAGCAAAAGTCTTTTTTTTATTTTCTTTCACAACATTTCACTTCATCTGCCCTCCTGCGATTCTCATCTCCTCGGGGCTTCGCACCTCACTCATCAATTAACCCACTCGACCTTTGCGCCTCGCTCGTTTCTCTTCTTTCTCGGCTTTTATCCTCTTTGTTGCCTCGTGTCGATGCTGTTTCCGTGGCCATTCATGACCCACATTTCATGCCTTTTTGGTCTATTCGGACTTCAAAGAGCCCGTATCTCACGAACCCCTCTTCCAAGTGCCCACAAGCGATGCAAACGCAACGGTCTTCACTTGAAAGCTGATACCTTGCATAGCCGGATTGAAATAGTGCATCGTGTCACAACTCCTATTCTCGACCTAAGCGGCACTATTGCCCCACACCTTTTCCACCCACTGGCTAATACATTGGCTGCAGGTGATCAATCTTACCGTCCATCGCCAATCACCGCCCGGACTCGGTCATGTTTCGTGGCCGTGCACGAAATTGCTTACGAAGTTGTCTTCAGCCTGGCCGGCAGGTAGAATACCTTGTGAGGTATACGGACTGAATTGTGGGCGGAACTCTACTCTCTGTCTTCAAATCGTCCTAAGCAAGCTAGACTGACTAAGTTCTTATTCAATATTTATGGTCTACCATATTGAAAATGGGTATAATACAATGTCTCAACCCTTTGGTTATTCAGAAAATTTCTCTTCTTTCACAGAGTCAAGAGCAAGGTCTCAGCATGAATGACCTGTTCACAAGAGATCTTTCTTCATTGAACCAAAGAGAGGGCTTACATTTCGGTGAATATAACCCTCTTTCTACCACTATATGAAGTCCTCCTTCAAAATGTAATGTGGCAGAAGCGGACCACATTACTTCTTAGACCACCAATCCACGCGTTCACTGGGTCTTTAGATGCGAACACACATTCACGGCAGAAACAGACCATCCCTGCAACCTCTTTTAGGCATTTCAGTGCCATCCCGAATTAACTCTTACCAACGGCTATTTCTCAGACTAAGATATGAATAAAAACTGGGTTTCGAAGGCTTCCTTAATGAGGTTCATTTTGACATGGCTTTCCATTTCGAATAAAAAGTTGGTTGGAATGAAATAGCAAAATGGTCTCACCGAAAACCGAAGGAATATTTTGAGATGACTTTCCATTTCGAAGGAGAAGTTGGGTGGAAGGAATTAGCGGCAATCCTCCTTCGGATTGCCGCTTAAGGAAGACTGTTGAATTGTGCGAATGAGTCCTCGGCTCACTTTCCTGCGGCCCCGAAGAAACTGTGCTAAACTTTCGTCAGTTCTGTGACCGATATAATCAGAACATGTATCCATACTTCACGAAATAGAGCAAAAATACACTAAACGAAGAAAAAAGGTGACTGACTATAACCATAATCGCTTTTTCATACACCTTACTTTGCGGTCTTAATGAGGTATCCCATGATTTGGCTGGCTACTCCAACTTTACCCTGCATGCTTGGTGAGACCATTTCACGCCGCATCCTCTCAGAATAAGGCTTTGCCACGTCCTGTACCAGAGTCACTGACCAGATATAACTTTCAGAGTCCCGCAATTTCTCTAGTAATTTATTTTTTTCCAACTGCCCACTCATTGACTATTGACTGAATA